CGTTGTGACCATCTTTTATATATATATACCAGGCTACCCGCAATCTAGTAGTCTCCAGATAATTCACGAAGGTTCGAGAGAAGGACGTGGCGGGATACTAGTCACGTGACGAGTTTTCCACAAATAAACTGATGAAGTTTCTTGCAAACTTTTATATTTTAATATCTTTATTTTTTATTGATATGTACATATTGTAGGAGACAAAAAGAAAAGTAAAGTAATGTTCTTATAATAAAAAATAGCGGTCATTTCGTAGTACAGTTGGATGTTGGGGGGCCTTCTTATACTACCAGGTGTAACTGTTGCTTTCATATCTAATCTATAAACATTCGAGTAACATGGGGTTTATAATAGATGACTCTTCTTGGTACGATAATAATAATAGTTAGTCACTTGGTTTAATAGATGACTCTACTTCGTACGATAATAGTTAGTCACTTGATTTAATAGATGACCCTACTTTGTACGATAATAGTTAGTCACTTGATTTAATAGATGACCCTATTTTGTACGATAATAGTTAGTCACTTGATTTAATAGATGACCCTATTTTGTACGAAAATAGTTAGTCACTTGATTTAACAGATAACCCTACTTCGTACGATAATAATAATAGTTTGTCACTTGGTTGTCCTTCACGTCTATACAAAGTATTAAAATTAAAAACAAAATCACAAAAGTAGAACCTGTTCACAAAAAGCTCAGACATAAAACAAAACAACAGCTAACAAAACGCACAACTTAACAAGTCCGTCTGTCACCAGGTGGCCTTCACAGACGAAAAAAAAAGTACGTGTTAAAAGTGGAAGCTTCGACACTTTTTTCAATAAAATATATTTTGTGTTTAACAGCTCGCCACCTATTGTTCTGGATAATGATTCGAACATGTGTTACTTGTGAAGGTATTTTTGAATATTGCATTTCGCAAAAAGCTACTCGTGCTTGTCGTCCCTAATTTAAGTGATAGACTAGGGAAAAGACAGCTAGGACTAGGGAAATTTAGATGGAGGCATTTGACAGTCACTTTTATAGCGCATCCCCCCTTCTGGTGGTAACAGTTCGTTTGTTTGGAAGACACAAAACTATCTACTAAAACTATCTTTTAGTGTTATAAGCCCACTGTTTTACCGTTAAGCTACCGGTAGACGGCGGGAACCACTCTGTATGAAAATTCGACGAATTGTGCCAAAAAAAAAAAGAGCAGAATTAACTACCTATACAATTACCAAACGGTTCAATATTACTATTCTTCGCGTGTGAAAAGCTAGAAATAAATCTTGATTGTAAAAAAGGTCACGTGTGATTGTTGAAAATAGCGGGAATTTTCCTAAGTGGAGTATTTAAAACGAAATTTTACTTAACAGAGGAATGTGTCATCGTGTTGGGGTGACGTTTTATACAAACACAACTGTATAAATATAACAATTCAGATACTGTAAGCCTTTCTACTGCTGTGCACACGAAATAACCACCGCACATCTCACTGTCAGATATCAATCTACCTCGCCAGTCTCTAAGTAGTGCTGTTATGTTCAAGTTTTTCTACATTACCCATTCAAGCCGTCTCCAACCATTATTATTGTTAAAATATTTAGGGTGATTAAGTTACAAACTTGAATTAAAGCTCCACTGTAGGTTATTAGAATACGAGTATCACTCACATTAAAATGTTTTTTATCCAATT